CCCCAAAACCCCAAAACCCCAAAACCCCATGATTAGATATCAGAATCTATTAGGAGAATTTGTAAACAAAATCAACAAATATATCATGTGAATTGAATATTAATCTGCTATCCTAATTATACTTAAATTAAGTCTATCAGAAATGATCAAGCATAATTTCATATTTTGGAGTAATTCTATCTTTACTCAGTTTTATCTATTTACATCTTGTGTCTTATTTAAGTTCTCACTACAAATTTATCGTCAAACTCTGTCATCAATAATGATTGAGTGGTATTTTTAGTTAAAGATTTAAGCTTGAGTAGAAGTTACTAAGTTTGAGAGAGTAAATTATTCTTTATAAAATTCTTTTAATCCCTTCTTAAATTTCATAAATTAGATAATATAAGTCTACTTAGTAGCAATATTATCTTTTACTAAGTTTACTCTTGTCTGGTACAATTATATTGTTAGAAAACTGAAGAAGAGATTGTATTAGTTCTGGTCAGATATTTAAATATTGAATTTTTTAAGTATAAAAGGCGCCTAATCTTAGGATCTTTAATAAATTTAATCTTTAATGTACAAAAAATTATTTGCAACTGTGCTCTTACTTTCCGTTTGCAATGGAATTCAAGTGAGTCAAATACTTTAAAAGCAAAGATCTTAACTGCTTTGGAAACAAGAAGCTACTAATAAATTCTCATGGAATGCTACTCAAGAATTGAAATGGGAAGTTGTAAATGCCTTTATAGATGTTCAGACCTCCCCAGATGGTGATGTATTTGCAATTTAAAAAATTTAATCTGAACTTCAAGAGACCAAATACCATCTCTATCTCTACAATGTTACCTCGAATGTATGGAATATCGTAGACGGAAACTTCGAGGTCAAGGCTGTGAGATTTGACAGACTTGGAAACATGTACTATCTGGATCCTAAAAACTGTGTCCGCAACTCAGAATAAATAAAGGTCGTTTGTGGACTCAAAGATTTTGAAGTGACTGTGGATAAAAAAATAATCGGACTCATTGATGACTCAGGACTTTAAACTGCAGCCAGTCTATCAAGTGCTTATAAGCCGGCACTTGTCTCACCTTACGAATTTAAATCCTTATCTGGCTTCAAAGGAATCACTCTCTTGAAAGATGAACCTATACTTATTGCCAGCGATGGCACTGTTGACTCTATATATGGAGGAGAAAAACTCATCAGCATTAGTGCAGGAATAGACGGTTCACTCTGGGCACTCTAAGATGAAGGTAATGCCACTGATTTCACAGTACTCAAGTGGTAGACTATAGCCTAGAAGTGGTATAAAGTTTTAGGTGCTAAAGGAACATGTCTTTCCGCCTTCAATGAAATTTCTGTTGCTATTGTAAACTCATTAGGATTACTAAGTCTCTCTTCTCAAAATGGGCATCAAAATGAGGCTGATTATGTAATATCTGCACCTTAACCTCCTACTTCCACATATGCGAGCACTTTGGCTCAAAAGGCTGACTTTGATTGGATGCTGAGTCTTATTAACACAACTACTTTTACTGAACTAGTACCACTTTTCAAATCTGCAGCAAATGTCAAAACCAGATTGGAGGCATTCAATTCTATAGAAAACAAGACGAATGTGTTCATTCTCTATAAAACTAATTATGATGTTGTGTCAGGCTTCTTTTTCTCAGGTCCATTTCCCACCCCAAACTAGCGTTCAATGTCGCGTTAGAAAACATTCGCAGCTTTCAGCATCACAAATAGATATTCTTATCCAGTTGACACTTAAGCATTTTCAGCCTATAATGAAATTCAAGAAATATTAAATATCTAGGGACATGACAATACATTAGATATTTCACCATAGTGCGGATAATCTGCTGGAGGATATAATATGGATAATTTTGTCGAGATTATCAATATTGGAAATAGTGCTCATCACAAAGCCTCGAAAATTCTCACAGGAAATCAAAATGATCCAGAATAGGTAGAAAACAGATATGTTCAATGTGTTGAAATTGAAATTTATCAAGCAAATTGATTTATTTATTCTTCAAGATAATATAACTTTTAGGATTAAATTTTTAAAGAATTAATTCATAGATAATAAATATTAACCTTGATTTATTTTTTAATCTATCAAATCAAAGAATTTATCATGATGGGGTTTTGGGGTTTTGGGGTTTTGGGG